TCAAATGTCAATGTTTAAAAATAGTAAATGGACCTGTGAACTTGATGGAAAAACATTGTGGTGGAAGAATTTAAGAAAAGTGTACCCGATGTACTATGAAAATGAAATGATATCTTATAGATAATCGGACACTTGTATTTTTAAGGATAAACAGAATATTCTGAAATTTCTAATCAAAAATTTGTACAAAGGATGGGTCATCATTAAATTGTAATTTCAGTAATGTTCACAGTCCTACAATATGTAAATGAGTTTTTAAAAAATATTGGATATCATTTTTTATCACAATATATAATTTTTAAAAATAAAATTTTTCGATGAGAATAATAGAAAAAAATGCAAACCATGTAAACAAAAAATTTCAGCATATGTACCGAAAAAAATGTATTTACAAATTGATAATGATGATCTTCATTCAATCCACGAAAGTGTTAGAAGTAAAGATTTAAAATAATACTAAAAATATTTATTCATTTTGAATTTGCGTTTTTGAATTTCTTCAAATTAGAAATTACATATTTGATTAGAAATTTCAGTTACGTCTTCTAAGATAAAACGGAATATTATAAATTAATATAAAAAAGTAAAAGATGAATTGGTATCAAAAATTAAATATAAGAAGTAATATATTTTTTTTTATGTATGAACATTTTCTTTATAAAGGTTGAATAAAAAAAGTTTATAATTACAAGATAAGTTCTATGACTTAAATTTTTGGACTATTTTAAAGAATATTTATTAAACAATTTAAAACTTTTGTATGATTTCTTTTGAAAATGTATTAAAATAATAAAATAGGTTTAAAAATATATTATTAATATTAATTATTCAAATTTAATTATTCCATTATATGTATATAATGTAAAAATTATACAACATTCTACTCAAAAAGCTTTGCAAACCTTTTTATTTTATCGAAATAATTTTGTGCCACAGAACAGATAAAACGCAAAAAAAAAATTTACTTTCTTTATAACGATCTAAAAAAGCAATCTTGTAGTTCTTAAATTTTAATTTATACGAGTATCATATATCGTAAGCACTGATTTACAGTACAAAAAAAAAACAAAGTTGATACTGTATACAATGTATATAAATATACTCGTATAAATATATTAATGTTTTACATATTTAATAATTTGTGTAAAGAGCAGTAGTTGAGCATCAATCATCACAAAGTACCTTATATGGGAAATTCCAAGATGTTTAGCCTTATAGAGTTGCATGTTCACTAATTACAAAACTTTTTTTATAATTGTGTTTTATGGACTTTCGGTCACCAACTGTCTGTTTTTACCAGGAAATGACTGGCATCAAAAATTAGTTTTATTTTTTTTTAATTTATTTAATTAGTTGTTTCAACAAATTATTTTTCTTTTTACAATAATTTTAACAATTAGTGTCAAAAATTAGTACATTTTTTTTTGTGTCTCATATTAAATTAGGATTATATAATATAAATAAATAGAGAACAAGCAAAAATAATTTTTTCTTTTATTTTTTTAGTGATATAATGATAGTGGTTAAGATGATTCGGATTTAGATGATGATAATGATTATGATGTATTTGGAGATAAAAAAATCCACTTGTGTGAGGCGTGGTTTTAGTCTGTAGTTTTTTGTTTTTCCCCGATTTTATAATGGATGGTTCCTTCTGTTGAAAGAAGTTTTGAGTGGAAACTGTATTTTGATCAATGTGTCCAGTTATAAGATTCCAGTGTCATTATGGACCTAAGAATATTTGAGTTAATTATATTCTTCAGAAATAATTATGAACATTTTTAAAGTAAATTAATATAAAATATATATTTACTTTTTTAGATTAATATTCGTCATTCAGTACAATTTCTAGAGTCATTATATTGTAAATTAAGAGTATTAAACATTAAAAAAAGGTATTATTTAGTAGAAAATAAATAAATATTTAATAAATATAATCGTATAAATTAATCATGTCAAAATTACACAAAATTATATGATAATTGCTGTTTTAAAATTTAAATGTATGCTCTATCAAAGCATAAATGGAATTAAATTGTTATCATACTGTGGACAGAGTTGGGCAAAAATAAATCAAAATAATGAATAAAAAATAAAAGCCTGAATAACTAATTTATTTATGAATAATTTTTTATTCTGAATAATTGTGGTGTACTGAATAAAGAATAAAATTATTCTGAATAGTTTTATTCGTTAATAAAACAACATATGTGGATGATATAAACAAAATTTAAATAATGTAAAGGATAATATCAAAATATCGTAAACTGTAAGCGCCTATCTAATATAAGCTATCAGCTAGATTATTTTTAAAAATGTAATTAAAAAAAATTAAGTAAAAAACAATTAAATATTTTTTAATAAAATCAATAAAATACTATTTTTATATATTTTATAAATAAATACGTTTGAAATAGAATTTAGTTAATTACTAATAATCAATATTATGAGATAAATTACTACATACATGGGAGTTTTAATTCTATGACATAAGAGGTATTAAGGATTTGAGGAATTGGATAATAAAAAAATATATTTTTTGTTAGCCTGTTGAAAGCAACTTCTTATACATTACTGTTATACACTGTGATTAGATAATAATATTTCGATTTAAGGCGCGTAAGACAAATTTTTAAGGAATTCAATATGGACAATTTTTGAATATTTTTAGAAAATTAATAATTTAATTTAAATTCAAATTTTTCCATTAAAATTATATTATATGCATCATATTCTTTCGTTAAAAACTTTTATTGATAGCTTATCATAGTTAAAATTATATGAATACTAGGATTGGATTTGGAATTTTAATTTATATACATACCTACCTTATAAAAAAATGTATATTTGAAATATGATTATAAATTTTTTAAACGAGGTATAAGCTTTTATTAAGAATAAAAACTTTCAAGCTTATATTAGTATGAAACATTACTATAGAAACTAAACACTAAATTATATTTTTTAAGAAAACCAGGAATATTAATAATGACACAAAGTTATTTTCAAACCTTAAAAATAAGTAATAATAAATAATTAATCAAAATGTAAAATAATGAAAATAGAATGAAACAATTTAAAATATTTGTATCAATAATAATTCATACCAACATAGAGTATCTGATATAAAATTTGTAATTATTTTCTATTCATTAAATACATTAGCTTAATTAAATGTTTTTAATTTTCGTATAGTCTTTACAATAATAATTATTAGTACATTGGATTTTGAAAAATTATATTAGATAAACAATTAATTTTTTTTTTTTATACAGTAATGAAAAAATAGTACAAAAATTAGTATAACATTATTTATTTTTATTATTTTATTTAATATTAAAAATTCCCTGTAAGGTATAATATTTTAATTTAATATTTTAATTCAAGGTAAACTGAAAAGTTCTCCATGTTCTCCTACCATTTTCATATAACACCCTAAGCATAACAGAATACTCCTGTGTACTATAAATAGTAAGAATATTTTAAAAAATATTAAAAAAAAAAAAAATAACAAAAGAAAAAAATAAAACAACAAATTTGTACAAATTGATTAACTATACAATTGTATACAGATTGGTACAATTTTGTAAGAAATACAAGTATAAATTGACAAATTGCAAACTTTACATTGTTGATATTATTGTTTAGAAAACTAAGATTAAAATTTAATTTTCTACAACATGTATAGTACTTTCATGGTTTTCTTTCCATTTTTAAGAAAAAAGAAGTTTCTTTTTGATGTTTTTCTTATTGAAATAAACTAACTTGGGAATCATGGATCGAAAAAAGTTGTGCATCGCTGATGTATACAATAAAGTAATAAATTAGATTTTAAATTATATATGTTCATTAAATTGGAACAATTATAGGGTATTCTTGTAATTTTTTTAGACAATTTTTGAGTACTTTTATGCTCTGCAATTATACTCGAATAACAATAACAAAACTATTTAATAAGTTATAACTTATAACTAAAAGTGTTTTTTTTCAATCAAATTCTGAAAAATAAAATGGAAGTTTAAAAAATGATTGAAGGTGTCAATTTCTCAAGAATAGAAAAATATTAATCAAGTAGTTAAATAATACAGGTTATTATAATATATTAAATCGTCAATTTTTATGCATAAACCGTGTCATAATGCACAAAATATACATTTGTTATGAATAGGAAATAGTCAGTAAATATAAAAGTTATTAATAACTATACTTGAACCGAAAGTGTAATAACAAAAAATTTTTTCTACAAATAAATAGATTAAATATAGTATTAATATTAAATCTGCAAGTACTTACAAATTTAAATAAATTAAAAAACTATAGATTTATAATTTTGAGTTGGAAAAATAATTTTTCTTCATTATTGTTGAACTATAATTTAGGAATACAATTGGAAATTTTGAGTTTTATTTATTTAGAATAATACATTATTCTTTTATATCTCTTCTAAATATACTTGTATTTTTAAATCGCAATTCAATGTACATATCGTACAAATAAGATAAATAAAATAATTTGTGTAAGCTTTTTATATTATTAAGTTTGTTTACTGGAATTTGATTTTTTTTCTGACAGTTTGTCCAAATTCAAGAAACAATAACTATTCCTAATTTTTTTTACCGTGAACCATTTTTTTCCATAGCTTGATACCCGGAGACCAGGATATGATTTATGTACTATATATTCAATAAATATTCAGTAATTATCTACATATAGCTAATTGCACTCAATTGCATGCATATCATGCATAGTATACCAGTATACTATGGAATACAAAACTATAAAATATAAAACTATAAAACAATATTTGCATAAGCACGAGTGATTTGGTATCATTTAAATCAGTGTGACTGTTATCAATGCGCAAATAGGAAATAAGGAACAGTTGAAAATATTTCAAGATATTAACAATATTTGAAAAGAAATTATTTATTATTATTTTTAAAAGACATATTATTCATTGATTTGCATTGTAATGTTTTCGTTCCGTAAATATATTTGAAAAATATTTGCCCATGATCTATTTCTTGATGGAGAAAGATTGAGAGCCAAGGTATTCGGGTGCACCGTAAGCTTTTGGTGCGACTGTGCTGGAGACGATTCCGGATTTTACCAACGGTTGAGCAGCAGAGTATGCAGAGTATGATGAGAAGGCACCATTGTATGCTGGCGATGCAGCGGAGTAGGAAGAGTAAGCTGATGGAGCGGCACTGGAGTAGCTCGAGAAAGAAGCTGGAGCAGAGGCAGAGTAGGCACCAGAGTATGCTGGGTAAGCACTGGAGTATGATGCTGGGTATGAGCTGGAGTAAGATGCTGGGTAGGCACTGGAGTAAGATGACGGGAATGCGCTGGAGTAAGATGACGGGAATGCGCTGGAGTAAGATGATTGGTAGCCGCTGGAGTAAGATGACGGGAATGCGCTGGAGTAAGCTGCTGGATAGGCACTGGAGTAAGATGATGGGTATGAGCTGGAGAAAGATGCTGGGTAGGCACTGGAGTAAGATGCCGGGTATGCACTGGAGTAAGCTGATGGGTAGGCACTGGAGTAGGCAGAGAAGGCAGCTGGAGATGCACCAGAGTAAGCCGAGTAAGATGAGGGGTAGGCATAAGATGCAGCTGGAGCGGCAGAGATAGCCGGGTATGAGGCACGAGCAGCTACTGGGTAAGATGAGTAGGACACAGCAGGGGCAGCAGTCGAGTAGGCCACAGCAGGGGCTGCAGTGGAGTAGGCTGAGTAGGATGCTGGGTATGCAGCTGAATTGTATCCAGATTGGTAGCCGTAACCAGATCCGTATCCTGCAACGATTAATAGCACAACATTTTATTAAAATTTAAGAAGAATAAATGATAAAACCAATTAATTTAACTATTTAAGGGTTTCGATGAGAATACACTGGTATTATATGATAATTATTAATTTTATAAAAATATGTACATATTAAAGTGATTCGTTGTATGTAAACGGTTCACTAGAATCATAATTATTCGAATAAATAGATTAAATTGTTTAGAATAGTTGGTCGAATAATTAATTTCGAACGAAATATACTTCCAGATCATGTATTCGAGATGAGAAAATCAAGTGTTTGAAAAAAACAAATCATTCAGTTCTTGATATTTCTTTACACGTGAAATCAGAATGTTTTTAACTTTAAATATTTTCAAGTGCGATTCATTACAAACAAATTACACGATATGTATTAAAAGTATAGTAATAGCAAAAACCACCTAATGTAACTTAAACGTTATATGCGTTTTACTGGAAATAGTTTATAAGTATGATTTTCTACGAAAAAATGTTTTTAACGACATCGAAATAAATTGAAATAGTTGAAAATGAAACGTCGATTTTCATCGACGTTGTAGAAATATTTGATAAAATAGTTAAGGAATCCTTCAAACTTTAAAAACGTTAGTAGATATACCGGAGATAAAAAAATGTAATAAACCGAGCGAATACGTGTACCTATCTGTTACTGGTGTACTCTTATGATCGTACCTATACACGGAACTATGATAATCTTTAAAAACATAACTGTTTAGAATTAAAAAAAAAAAGACGGTCGTTTTCCCACGGTTTCGTCCGTTACGGTAATATTCGAACACCGGCGCTCGTGTCGTTGCGCACGCGGACGTGCTAAGGGACAACAATGATAATAATTGGTGTTTGTCTTGTTCCCACGAGGGTAACGTTTACGTGGAGAGAACGATTATAAATTACCAGCTAGAGCCGGGGATCCGGAGACTGCGTAGGAAGCATAACGTTTCTGCGGTTGTTCCTTGTTTTCGGCGAGTGCGGCGGCGACCAAGAACAATGCGATGCACAAGACCTGCGACGGACAAATGGAACGGATTAACAACGCAGACCGGGAGAACGCGACGGCCCGGTCTCGTCCGGTGCCCGAAGCGTTTGCCGGTTTTCGGCCGTTCGCGCTTACCTTCATGTTGACGGGTGTCGGTGACGTTTTCTGACTGCGGACGAGCTGAGTGTGCTTGGGTGCTCCGGTGGGTGTGCAGAACGTGTTGTGCTGTAACGGTGGCCGGTCACGGTGCTTATATACGGAACTTTTTCGCGACCGGTAACCCCCCCGGTGACAAAGGTGCTGCGATGCCTGGTGCACACCGGGGGTGAGAAACGGACGGGCGACGGGCCGGACGGCCATTGGTCGGGCACCGGGCGCGCGGTGGGGATCCGTGTTCCGCGGATCCAGTTTCTGCACCTCCGCCCCTCCTCGGCCGGGCGCGCGCCCAGGAAAACCCGTTCGCGGAAACGCAACCGCTCAGCAACCGGATGGCCGCGTGCCAAACGGACGACGTCTCCTTCGGCCGCGTCGGCCCGAAAAAAAAACGGACGAACCGAATCCGTCGGGCGAAACGTTGTCCTCGCGCGCCCGTCCCATAACGTTCGTTCTCTTCTGTTTCCCGCGGCCGGCCAGTCTTTCCGTGCCCGCGGACGAGCGCCGCTGTCGATTTTTGTTCCCAAGCGTTTGATACCCGCGTTACAAGCGCGCTTTGGCCGTACGGACCGCAAAAAAAAAAAAAAAAAACGACGACGACGATACGGTCCCGAACGCGTGCGCAGTCGACTTAACGAGCGCGCGCGACTCCAGGTGTTGTCTACACCGCGTACGTTTAGGAGTCGAACGCGCGCGCCCGGAGAAACGTTGACGATCTTACGTTTGGCTGTACCACTGCTGATCGTCACCGTTTTAGGACGTAAAAATACGATTGATTTTACGGTGCATTTAAACGAATCGAGACCGTTTTCGTGTCGCAGGAATAATATTTTTTTTTAGTACCAGTACACAGACGTACACGATAGAATTAAGTACGTCTCTTTTTATCTCAGTTCACTGACCAAAAAAATCCAATGATCACTGTATCCACCCTGATTTCTATCCGTTTCTAAAACCGTCCATCGGTCTATATTACGTCGACGTATTAAAAATAGTACAGACAACATTAACAAGTGTAGTACACGTAGCATAGCAATACATTTACACTGATACTAATAGAAATACGATTTCGAATCAGACAAATAGTAAGTTCATTTTAATCATGTTAATATTCTAGAATTTCCACGCGCAATTTTGAAAAACACGATTTTATTGAGAATATTTGACTTTTTTTAGAATTTAATGAAACGTTATTTTAATCATTAAAAATAATTTTATACAACTAGTAAACGAATAAAAACCATGTTGAAAATGTACGTTTTAAAACGTTTTAATGTAACTAACCACTGGTTATAAAATAAACTTAATAAAAACAACACACAAACTATTAACTTATAATTTTTACTGACGTTTATTATTCAATTTGGCAACTTTGTTTTTAATTTAATACTCTATTGACAGAAATAGTAATTTGATATTTTCAATTATTATTTTTTCTGTTGATGTATTATCATTCAATATACAAATCGACGATTTTTAGTTCGATTATTGGATTTTTTTAAATTGGCACTTTTACTTTTAAGATAATTTTAGTATTTATATGAATGATGTAAAATCACTAAGTTCGAACTAAAATGTAATATTTAACCAATTCCGTCAGATTATCAAAAATACGTTAATCCATATATATCGATTAAATTAATTTTTTCAAATATAATTATATTAATTAGAATCTTTAATTTTGAAAATTTGACCGTATATTATTTTTCAACAAGGAAAATTTACAAGTAACTTTTTTGTCAAAGTATGTATTTAATATACTTTTAGGTTTTCATATAATTGTAATACAATATTTTTTTACTATTTTCTGTTGTCATAATTTTTCTTAGCCATATATTCTATTTTGTGTTAATATTTATTTTTAATTTCGTTTTTTGAAGAAGAATATTTTGATAAAACGTTTAATGTAAAAAATCAATTATTGAATCCATTCCTAATAACTTTGTCATTTTTCAAGTTGAAAATAGAAGCACAGTAGTGGATTTATATTTTGAAAGATATATCCTTGACATTTCACTCTCCCGATTTTAAATTTAAATAATTGTAACTATTTATCAGTTTGATTTTTGATTGATACTTATTTTCAGAATATAAAATTAAAAATCGATGTATCCATTTAAAAAATAAAATATATAAAGATTTATACAAGGTTTATACTAATAAAAGTTTTACGGTCATGCAAAATAGGCAATTACAAATAATACAAAATACATATTAATAGGGTTAGGTTAGGTTAGATACATTTGTAAATTGCTCAAAATAATAAACGTTGCTGGTTAAAAACTAACAAGTATATAAAATTGTTCTAACTAGTTTTTGTCTAAACAGTTTTTGTAGCTTTTCTTTTCTTTTTTTTTTTCACGATATAACGGCTGTACATGGAATCGAATTTAAAGAGATTTACTAACTCTCAATTTTTTACCTTATGTTTCATTCTATCAAAAATATAAATGTATTTATCTTAAAACACAATTATACTTAAATAATAAATATTTTGGAATTATTGTATAAAATCAGATGAAAAAAAAGTAAATGAGCGTGTTGGACTTGATTTATCAGTTAATCGCTTCATTGTTGGTCAGACGACGGAAAAACTCAGTGGAATATACCAATATAATACCAATATTGTGTTTACTAATCAATCGTTAGTTCTCTAGAAAACCAAAAATTACCTAAACTTAACTAAAATATCTATAATCGAAATAATTGAATGCTAGAAGGTCTGTCCGTTATCTATATTTGTTCAAAAAGATCAATGACAGAAACTCGTGATATTCTTTATATTTCTTACTGGCCGGTTAGTACGATAGGTGAATTGAAAAAGTAATATATTTTATCTTAAATGCTATAGTTCAAAATTTAGAATTTTCATCAAACTAATTCTCGATAAATTCTGTTTTTCTTTTTATGAAGTTATTCTTGTCGGAATAAATGTTTTTTAAAATTTCCGTAAGAAGAGATTAATAAATATTGACAAATTATAAACTCATTTAAGTGAAATGAACGAACATATAATTTATTAATACGATAGTTCAACAGTATAAATTTGTATAGCTATCAAATTAATATAATATAATGTAAAACTGGTTGTGATGACAAATTTTTAAATAGGTTCGACAAAAAAAATTACAAAACCCATATCAAATTTTCTTATGAGACATCCGTGCCAATTTATTATATTTTTTTCTTCGGACGCTTATAATGTAACTGCATATGTTAAGCTAGTGGGTTCGTGTACGTTCGTTAAAGTCGAAACATGTTTTTCACCATTATTTTACAGACTTGCAGACGCGGTTTATTATCTACGGTACAATCGCATACGTCCCTTCCCGCACGAAATCCAGTTTAGCAAAACGAGAAAATAAAAAAATTTAGCATTCAATCGCTAACAAAAACAATCATGAATAATAATTATAAGAAAAAAATTATAAACTTTGTATATAACATGTTCAGATTAGTTTTTTTTTTTGTAATTTTATTAATATATAAAAAAAACTTGACTTTTTTGGTTTACATTGACGAATAATATAACGGTATATTATAACTATAATGAATTTTAACGAATAATATAACTCGATTTTTTTTTAGTTGTGTACGATTATATCATACTATTGAAAACAAGGTCATAATGGAATTCGATAACATGTTGTTCATAATGTATTTTAATGGGCATTCACTATAAAGAAATTTAAATGCTAAATATAACGTTACGATGATATAAGAATATTAGTCCATAATGAAGAGGCACTAAATATAAGATTTTTAAATTAAATACTCATCTTTAAAATATGAATATTTTTTTTAATTGGATGTATCCACTTAATGAAAAACCGTGCATTACGAATTAATTAATTATTAAAAAAAATAAATAAAAAAACATTTATTTAAATTATTGGTTTTTATATTATTCTTGTATGTGATGTCAGTTATTCATATAATTTTTTCATTATTAAATTAGGATGCATGAATTTTAAAATATATTAAGAACTATAGTTATAAAAACAGTAAAAATAATTGAATTCGGTAAATGAAACTACAAATGAAGAAACCATTCATTTGTTTTTTTAGTATTGTGTTTATGTAAAATATCATCAATGAAAACATTTCGGAGAAGTAGAAAATAAACTTATATATAGCACCTAAAAAGTATAATACTGGATTTTTATTCATTTTTAATTCAATTCTACTTAATAAAAACATAAAATCCAAATCCAAGAAAATTGAAATTTTTGTTTCATTCCAAGTAAAATTGTACGCAGTGTTTTTGTATTTTTTTTTTTAGCACTATACATTTTCAAGAGATTACATTTATATCTCTAGCAAATGTTTTTTTATTTTATAGCTTTTAAATAATTATTTTTATTTAAGTTATGAACATTGTAAGAATTGTATTTTATTATGACCATTGTAACAATATAACTGTAATCGAATATAAATAACATATAATTATATTTATGATATGGTCAAGTGGATTAATTATTTGAAATATTTTAGCAGTATGAAATAATAGAAAAAAAAAAAAAAACTATAAAATGTAAATAATTTTGCACTTAAGGTTCTTAATTTAGCATACTAATAACTTTGAATATATATTACTTATTAAAAATAAGATACTACAATTTCAAAAATAATGAGAAAAAAAAGTTTTGTAAATAATTTTAAGTGTGTGAATAATATTTGATCTTAGTTTTTATTTTCGGTTCATTGAATACGGAAGCCAGCTAAATATTCGAATAAATGACCATTTCATGTTATTCGTATGTAAATGACGAATGATTAAGAATCATTTCTTGATACTATTAGAGCTGGTAACCAGCTGTTTCAAGTAAACGTTCAAATTATTTTATGGTCTCGACCAACTACTATTTTGTACTTCTATAAATTCAGTAAATCCGTAATAGGTAACATTATTACGAGTTAATTACGTTAGTCATTCTCGTTAAAAGTGATTAAAAATTGTTATAAATTCTAATTCCGAGGCAATTATTCCGCTGCCATTGAATTAAAATTATCGCCGGACTCGAATAAGACGTTTCAAGTGCAGTATCAAACACAATATTTTTTATATTTGTTGCCGTCGCGTACTTTTTACGTGCCTGCGATTCCGCGGCAATTCTATACGTTCTATTCGACAATGATGTATATCAGAAATGTTGAAAAATGTTCGTATAAATAATTAATGCAGTGATAGTGTACAAACATTGGCGTACGCAGACCTGTATTTCAGAGAGTGCCTATAATAATATGCCTAAATAATTTCTGGGCCCTATCTGAACAAGATGTATAGATATATTAAATATATTAGGTATAATGTATAAATAATAAAATTAAAGTTATAAGTGGTATATTAGTCCCATTGAATATATTTTCTTTGAATCTCAATCCTATTTTTCTCACATAGTTTCAGCTATTTATGATTTGTGCTTTAGTAGTTAATTTTACCTAGCTGTTATATTATCATAAAAAGTTTTTGCACGAAAATTTAGAAAACTTAGTTTTATTTTTTTCTATTACGAAACATTATTTATTTTTTGTCAATTATTTCAGAACGAATTGCATTTAATTTGAATAACATTAGTTAAAATACGGATCCCTCGTTCTAAGACTTAAATTGGTAGGGTCAATTTACAACATGTTTTTTTTTGAGGGGGGGGGGTGTCCGTGGACACCCTATATCCCTCGTGCGCAGGTCTTTGTGTACAAGTGAACCGTGAACCAAGTGTGTTAAACACAATCGCAATTCAAATACAAAATTACCCACACAACATTACGATTTGGTCGTAGAGGTCATGCGAGGATTAAATCATAATCTATTTGAATTCTCGTTCGTCTGTGGAAAATGGTTTATTAATTTTCAACACCTCGTAACATATCGATAACTTTGTGTTTTTAGCGAAGATTAGTTTCTTAGGTTTTATTTTTGAATTTAAATTTTATCCAGGATTCATTTCGATAACGTGTTTTAAGTTTTATACTGTCTACCGGTCTACCTGCAGCTGGAACGTAAAATGTATTTTGTCGTAAACCCGCACAGGCGAGAAATAAATTTTTAATCATAACAATCGCATAGTGATGGGTTTTCGTTAATAATTAAAAATATTCAATTTGACTGCGCACGTATTTGTGATGTACATACAATTATAACGTACAAACGTTTTGGGCGTTTTCACGGTTCCTTTTCCCACCCGATGATAATATCATCGGCGATCTCGAGTAAAACAATACGATTCGAACACACAATGGGCACGTACAAAACATATTACAATGCAGTTGCTCGAACCGCTGCAACAACAATAACGAGCTACCGCACACCAAGACCTACCCGACGGCTTGGATGTTCTTTGATCCGGTCTGCATCGTGCACACCGTGCGCGGCGCTTTAACCTGAAATTCACCAGCGCCTACACCTAATCGATTCCCTCGATTTTCATTCCCGGCGGCCGATGGCCGAACCCGGCGATCACAATGGAACGCAATACAATGTACGGGCGCGCAGGGTTTGTGTATGAATCATTTTTCCGCCCCTTCCGGCGACTCCGCGTCCGATACATTACAGCTGTTGGCCACGCGTAATCATTACGATTGGATTCGGAACGCTGCGCGCAACATTGCGCTGACCATAACGACGGTCGCCGTCCGGTACGAAACGTGCGGCAACGGTTAACGTCCGCCCGCGATCACCGTCCGAGTAAATGGTCAGTCCGACTCGCGGCCCGATCACAACAACGATTAGACGTTTCGCGCACCGTCACGCAACGCGCGTGCGTGTCGTAGCGGTGCGCACCTCGAGGTGTATCTGGACGTGCGCGTCAAGGCGGCGGGCTAGACGGCGGACGGTCTCGGATTCGGACAGCCCGAGATGTGCCGCCCCGTCGCGCCGCCGACTGCGAAACGCGGTGCCAGAACGGTGTGTGCGAGTAGCTATGTAAATTATCGCGTCAAGCGCAACCCCACGACGTCGTATCCGTTGCGCGGCACCGCCTGTGACGTGTTTCGCGTTAGTATTCGCGAACCCATTCGTTCGCCCCGAACTTCTGTCGGCGGCCGCCGGACGGGCGAGGGTCGCGCGATCGAGGAGACAATGGGGTAGTAGGAGACAAATGGTCGCGCGTACGTTTTTCGGCGCGCAGCCGTTCGGCAACGTTTCCCCCGGCGAACGTCCGTCGGAACGTGCGAATCGTACCGTAGCCGCAGGGCGTGCGGCGCGTACAACATTCAAACGGCCGAGGTCGATCCTCGCCGCTCCCTCACCGCTACCGCGGGAGCAGTTCGGTGCCGGCGTGCGATGCACGCGACGTCGTACCGACGGGCAAGGAGCGTCGGTGAAAAATCGGTTCTCGTGCGCCGTGCGCGTCTACAATGTTTTGCGCGGACCGGGGCGAAGAGAGGAAAAAAATATTTTTCATCAATACCTACGTCTCCAGACAAGTTGGCATTTATATTTCAAACGATTGTCGTGATTGCGCACGACCGTATCACATCATTCTCATTCGTCCTTTCCTCCCTCCCTCCCCACACCTACCCTACGTACTATTATCATTATTTCCCTCCGCGCAACCGGTTGAATGGCAAACAGCCGACCGGGACCGGTTCCCGAAGAAACGTAGCCCCGAGACGCATCTGCGACCGGATAAAGGAGTTGCTGGCAACGAGTGCCCCCCTTCCGCTGGGGGAATTCTCCTTGGGGGGTACCACTACCGCATCCGTACCCCGTCAGTCTACGTACGTGCGGTATCGCCGCTTTTTGTTCGTGCCCGTTGTTCGTCATTGTTCCATTATTGTTCATCTTCCGATAGTCTTCTACTTCTTCTCAACGTCTCCACCTTCTTCTACTACACCTCCATCTCACTTCCTTAGCTCACTACCTATTTAAGATCAAAGCGCTCAGCGATCGGGACACAGTTGCACTGCAGTGATTTTGAAGAGACGCACTAGCACTTTCAAGAATTCGCAGTTTTTAAACTTTTATCCGTCAATATGAAGGTAAGTGTTCATATAAACATATATTGTACCGTATTCAGTGGCATATTTATACATGCGTCTAAGTCATCAAAGTCCGAGTTTTGTTAGCAATACTTTGATGATATGAGTAACATTTTTTTTGAATAATCACAGTAATAAATAAAAAACTTGTGATCTGTTTGTTCTAGTCGATATGGGTAAAAAGTAATAATAATTGTTCATTATTGTTTTAAAGTTAATGTCAAACTTGGATTTTGATCATAGTAGAACTTACAACTGCAAACAATAAAAGTTTAACGTTTTGACCGTTCAGATAGAAAAGCGCGCAGAGAGAGAAAGAGGTTTAAGCTGTATTATTTGGGTAATAATAACAAATTTTCCTCGATTCACGAGCATATGGCACATTCATTGTCACTTATTTATAATGTTCTCTAGTCTTAAGATTTGATTGGGTACCTAACTAAAACTGGAATTATCTTTCAAAATTAATTTTGTTTCTTCTTCTTGTTGCCTATTTTGTTAGTTTAATTAACTTCAATAGTTTATAGTATACATTTCCGTTTGTATATTAATTTCAAATTTGTATTGACTATAAAACTTGAATTACTATACTTTTATTTTTTCGAAAATATGTCCTTAAAAAGTCGTTATGAAAAAATCACAAAAAAGGAATAACGGTGCTTGGATTCGATTATAGAATTAATTATTTCCTATTAAAATATTATATTTTATCAACAGTATGACGTAATGTTTTTACGAGATCAAAAACCTTAGGCCATTTTTCTTCTATAGTATAATAGCACTTTTTTCATTGCCATCAAAACGAATAACAATTTGAGTGACTATAGTAGGAGGGACCGCACCAGGCGCGCACGTATCCAGAAAAGCTATTGATCACGGTATTCATACGTCAAATTATCCAACGTTGTCAAGGTCGTAAATTCGGATTCGATGCAGTTGAAAAAATAAATGGTTAATAGAAATTGCTTCCATACAGTTTTATAACAATAGCCATCAACGCACTTGATTGTGACAAAACATACAAATCGAATGCTTTTGCGTACAATTCGATTTCGAGTGCATTGGTAAAAAGCGTGGTCGGTAGTAATATTTTTTATATTTTCGACGCGTTTTGAAAAGTTAAAATCTATTGGCATTCATATGCCAATAGATTTTAACTATGACCAACATATCATATGACCAACGGCTCTAGCCCGGATCATGGCTTATGTTATATTTTCATAATAACATTTCCTATTGTCCGAAGCATAAATATCACTATTAATTTCCATAAAATGTTTTTTTTTTTATTTCGATTTTTTAAGTGTACACAAATACATATATTGATTGTCACTGTTATATTTTTAATCTTGAAATTTTATGCGGTTTGCTCGTGTGACCAGGTTTCGTGTGCAGCGGTTCTATTAACCACCGTGGTGGCCGCCGTGACAGCGACGTCGTCAACTTCGGACAAATCCAACGCCGTCCCGTCGCCGGTGCACCAGTCCGCTTCCTACCAGGGACCGGCGGCCGTCGCTTACCCGGGCCCGAGCTATCAGTTCGCCGCCGAGTACAGCAGCCCGTTCGCCAAGTCGGCGTTCGGCCCCAAGGCCGTCCCGTCGTCGTTCGGTAAGTGCAAACGACATCGGGTTTTTCAACAGCAAGGATCGTTACGATACGTCGTTTTCCGAACCGTCGTTAAACTGTCGGCGAAACGGAAATCATTAGTATATTAATAGATGTGGTCGTTTCTGTTTCGTTATTCATAACGGGATATACCATCAATCGCACCGTTCTCAATATCATCAAACTCCTCGGGCAAACTTCTAAACTTCTTGACGACCGACCACACTTCGTCGTACTGAAGTTTCGTTTCGTTTTTCAGGCGCTTACCAACCGTACTCGCAGCAGCATCAGCAGCAGCACCAACAGTACAACTACGTGCCGTACCCACAGTACTTCCCAGCTTCCGGTTACCCAGCGGCCGCCGCCGTTCCGTACCCGTCCGCTTACTCGTCCGCTCAGCCCGCCGCCGTCGCCGCGTCTTACCCGTCGCCGTACACGACTTACCCGTACGCCGCTCAACCATACGCACCTCAACCGTACGCCGCTCAACCGTACCACGGCGCTTCCTACTCATCGTATCCCTTCTCATCGTACAACGGTCAGTTCGTCCCTGCGTTCGCTTCCCCGTACAACGGTCATTTCGTAGCCGCCCCCGCCCCCACGGCCACGTCGTACTCCGCACTGCCGTCTGCTTACCAGCCCCAACAACCGTCTTTCTTCAACGCTGCTGCCACCGCCACCACTGGCCAACAGTACAACCCTTCGCATCAATACAGCCCGTCTCAGCAATTCCAGTCGCAACAGTACCCAGCTTTCAATCCCAACCCGTCGCCCGTCGCCGCTGCTTCCGCAGCGTCCGCCGTCTTCGCTGATCCCGCCAAGGCCTCGACTGAGAAGAAATGAACATATCGATCCGGAACATTGACTCTATTCACCTCACATAAGACATTATAATTACTATTATTATTGTTTATTTTAACTCTACCGCACTACTTAATGCCATAAAATAAAGCATAACACGTTTTTCGTAAACTTTTGTATATTATCATTACTATGCTATGGCTCCTCAACCGAGAATCATTTCCTGTACCTGTAAATGTATATACTTCGACGTAAATACACGTTCAAAACACAAATTTAAGCCCGAGACTTCTAAGTACGCCTGAGTTGCAAGTATATAAAACAGCCAACGTGGCCAACGTATTATTATTACCAATGCGTATGTATTTACTCACAGATTTCTAGACCACCAGTACTATACAGTTTGGTTTCAGTCTATAGATATGACCGATTACGCTATAGTTGAAAAATTATAAAAATAATTATACCAAGAAAAATCGTCGTTTACCCATTATACTCTATATCAGGGGCGGCTAAACGGTCGATCGCGGACGATTTCAGAGTCGAAAATGTTATAATTTATTTTTAGGCCACGTGCACAAAAATTAATGGTGGTTAATTGGTGGTTATGAACAAATTTTCGATGAGTTTTACTTGTAAAGTTTATATTTTTTATTCTGGTTTATAAAAAAATTTTCCAAGAAAATCGATCTTCAAAGGTGAAGTATATTTTCAGTAGATCGTAGCCGAAAAAAGTTTGGCCACCTCTTCTCTAGATAATCTATAATCGCGCATACTTAATGAAAATAGCAATCAAATATTGATTGTTCAATTGAATCAGTTGTCAAATGAAGAATATTTTTATGTAATTCATGTATAGGCAAAGTAAGAAATTGCATTTGTTCGTGATATTTAAGAAAAAATTAATAATTCATTAAAGAATATAACTACTTATTTATTTTTATAATAATTTATCACTAATTTTAAATTAAAAGTTACTTATTTTGAAATGATGGTTGATAGGTGATATTTTGAATTGCATACGTCTTCATATAAAATATTGTATAACATTTTCCAACTCTGTTTTCACCATTGTACACTATAATTATCAGGTAATTTAATAACTATGTACGTTAGATGGACATTTTAGACTTTAATATAAGTATTGCGCTAATGCGTTATGCATAATGACGGATTATCTGTACTACCGGTATCATATTTATATATATTATACATATAATTATTGTATATTTATACGAGTATATCTATAACAATAAAACTGAAAAATTGTTTCAACGTATGGTCTATATATATTCCTATACTACATAATCAATTTTAATGAAATTCTGTACGGATATAGATTAGACCTTGGTGAAGAAAATAGGTTACCTTTTTTCGTGAAAAAAAGGAAAGGAAGCATCAGTACACCTAATAAGGCCCAAACGAGCAGTTGTTGTCTTGTTGTTGTTATTACAACCGAAAAAACAGAAAGGAACCTCACTCTCACCTCATCTTAAGGCCGATTACACGCAACGATTTATTGTACGTCTTATCCGAACACGACTAATCGTATCAAGTAAAATGTAGTGTGTATACAGTAAGTCGTACGTCTTATCGAATCGAAATTAAATCCAAGTTTGGATCGTAAGATTGATGGGTACGGATTCATTTTACGTGAAACTGAACGACAACCCGTTACATGTAAATACAGGCTTGATGTATTGTACAACTTTTCGTCCGTTTTAAGTATAATTTTTATTCTTCTAGTCTATAAAGTTTCAACCACTTAATTTCGTTTTATTTTTGTAACTATAAAATACTATAGTATATTTACGAATATTTTTTAATAAATAATATTCAATTTTATTCGAGTGATATTTTTGATTTTTTTGTGAACATGTACGATCTACGAAAATCCCGTTGCACACGTATTAGAAATATGATAGTAAAAAAACCACAACAGTGCTTCTTTCATCACTTCTTTCAAGCACTAAAATAACTGAGTACCACTGAAGAGTGAAGAGAAATACTGTTGAAACTAAGATGGAAAGCTGGAGTGGAAAAAAACTGGAAAGTGTATTACATTCTATAAAATGTACGTTTTTGTGTCTATTTTACATGCTCAATAGAACGTACAATAAGTTTTTGATTGTAAACGGACTTTTACTGTGCACCTAGAAAATTGTTAACGTGTTTATTTTATTGAGAATGATTTCTAGGAGCGACTATATTCTCCTTCAAAATCGACATTCACCGCTTATTTTGGATTGTATTTACTAATTCCAATACATTACAAATTATTATTTTAATCATTATTTCGAGTAATTTACATTTAAAAAGGCTTCTACAGCGAGTAACACCCAAGAGGAGTTAAAGAGGAGTAAAACATATTTTCTTACCGGGAAGCACCGTGTAATTAAACTATAAATAAATAAAAATCTATTTAAAAAAAAATGCAAATATCACTAACTCATTGATCATTGTTATATCTCAAAAACGATAAAATTGATATACATTGAAATTTTACATAGTTTTCAATACTCTAGACGTGCAATAAAAAGGGATTTTAAAAAAATATTAGCACCAGCAATGATGGTTCCATGATGGAGAACCGATTAGTTCAGCGTTGAACCTAAACTCTGCTTTACCGATTCATTTGAAATTTCGTTTTATTTGATTGTATAAGCATTTATACCAAATAAGGCTATACTTAGTGTATGGCTATCCATTAAATACTATGTCCCCGCCAAGATTGTTCCATTTGAAGCCGGGTAATTCAAAATGTTAACAAGTGTTTTTCAAGGGTTAGTTAATATTGTATAACATTTTAAAAGTTCTACTTAAAATAAGAATTTTATTTATAAATAATATTAATTGTTTTTTACAAATTAACCACTCTTTTTATGTAGAGTGAAAAAGAACTTAATTTTAGCACTATAATTGATATTGAATGACAATAAATAATATATTTTAACTATATTATTAAACAACGTTCATTGAATAACTATTAACATAACTATAACATGCTGAGCATTTTGTGTTATAGATCTATGATACAAATATGCCCAGAGCATTTCTATTAGAGAGACTTAAATGCATGGTTAGTTTAATGGTTTCATGCATTTAGTTTTTTTGAATGCTATATGGTGTAGAATATTTGCTTTTAAATTGAACCAACCACTCGCTTCAGTGACCAAACCCAGTCTCCAATTCCGTATCCTACTGGACAGGTTCTATAAAATGTGGTTTGATAACAAAATAAATTAAAAATAGAAACTAAGATAAAAATGTTGCGTTCCTGATGTGAAATCTATTAGCTATTTCTGTAAATTTATATTATTATGGAGGTACAGAAAAGTATAAAATGTTTATTACAATTCCTAAGAAAAGTGGTTTTAAACAGTAATATGAAAATAAAAATGATATTGGTATTTCAAGTGCACAATTGAAAACTATTATGTTGTAAATACGTGCATTGAGCTTAAAAAATACACGAAAATGCTAATATATTTATCAATATACATTGTATATCACTGTATTATTATAAAGAGGTTACAACTTTTTTGTAAAACTATTGATGGTAGTTGTTTGTTCTTTCGTTTGTGTTGAAAAAGCTTTATTATACGTTTTAACATTTTTATATATCTTGCAATTGAATTTCAAAAAAAGAAATTTTAAAGACATATTTTAAAATTTATCCTCTTAACTACATACATTATATTTTTCATCAAAAAGTAATGTTAAATAAAAAATTAAATATTAAATAAATGTTAATCGTTTAATTTTAATCATACTTAATATAGTTATAAACTATAGATATTAAAATATATTTACGTCAATTCCATTATATTATATTTTCTTCCCCCCTCCCCAATTACGATCTAAATGATAAGCCATCTTAAGTGTATTCAAACACAATAATTTAGAACACGACATATTATGATAACGGGTTTATAATAAATTTTCATAATATTAAGATAAAAATATACTATAAAATTTGAAATTTAAATAAAAGATTATTTGATATAAAGCAATAATTCATTATTAGTAATAAAATTTGTATTTTGAAAAATATTCGGATAAAAATGCAATAGTTATGATTTAATTTTATTATTCGGTCAATACTTCAGTGCCACTTCATAAGTGATTTCGTGTTACAGTGATAATATTCGTTGCTCCTCGTGTTATTCCACATCGCTGTATTTAGATTTGATAAAAATCATTCTTGAAATAATCATTATATTGTCGGCGGCAAGTCATCGATCCGTTCGGAGGTCTTCGACCCTCTGCCAGCGGCATCGTGTCGCAACGTTAAGTGTAGGTACACAGGTGTACACGTACTCATATGATATACGCTTATAAAGGCACCAGATTTAATGCATACCTGGAAAATAATGATGTCGTTTTTCAACGACTGTTTTGTAGTAGTAACCACTGCGCCGGATCGTTTTGGTCACCGCCGACCATCTAACTGAGAGATTTTAACCACCGATCGGTATCTTTGATGACCGTTCCGATAAAGATTTATAATGCCATTGTGTTAACGTATAATTGTTGCACTTATACGTCATTTCTAGAGTGTACGCGATCGTTAAGTATGATTATTGTGTGTGAGAGAGAGAGAGAGAGAGAGAGAGAGAAAACGTAATATTACTATAATTATTACTGCGAGTTGGAACGGTTGTGTTTACCACGCTTTTTACTAAGTAAAAATAATAAACTATATGTAATATAAGATTACAAAGATAACGATCCATAGATCGATCAAGTTTTTGAAAATTGTTATAAACACTTAAACATTATTGTTGGAACTTATTTGCTTTACAATTTAATACTTTTGGGTGTCAGTTATTTTTGAAAAATTAACAAAATAAAACGAAATATTCTGACACAATTAGAAACAAAACTTTATTCAGTCTAGAAGCGAGAGTGCTGAGTGAATTTGTTTCAACTTTTAATATAGGTTTATACGGAGGAGTATTTGAAAAAAGTTGTTTGAATATTTTCAACAATTTTCATCCGCTGAAAATGTAAACAAAAATATGAACAGTTATACAGTTGTGCAATGAAAATATATACTTTGATATTAATCATAAGATCGGGTAGAATATTGGCTCATGTAGAAACATATTTTTTCCCGGGCAGGTTAATAATATTATTGAGTAGAAAATAATCAACTTTCAATGTTTCTA